ACTTGGGTTTCTACGACTAAGGTCAAGGTCACTATGGGAGTTCAAACTTTGTCATTTTTTGTGTTATATAAATATAGAAGGTGGTTGTCATTTCCGCTCTGAAACTTCAGTATTTAAAGAAGGATTGTAATTTTTCTGTCACAAATGAAATAATCATAGTTGTATGGTGTGTCTTGAACAAGACTCGGGTTTCAACCACTAAGGTCAAGGTCACTGTTGAGGTTCAAACATGTTATATATATAGATGGTGGTGGTCGTGTCCGCTCTGAAACTTCAGTATGCAAGAAAGGATTTTAATTTTTCTTTCATATATGAAATAACCATAGATGTATGGTGTGTTGCGAACAAGACTCTGGTTTCTATGACTTAGGTCAAGGTCACTCTGGGTGTTCAAACTTCGTCAATTGTGATGTTGATATACATATAGGCAGAAATTCTCTTGTCTGCTCTGAAACTAATATGCATGAAAGGATTTTATTTTTTATTTCACATATGAAATTATCATAAATGTATGATGTGTTGCCCTTAAGACCCATGTTCCTATTCTTTAGTTCAAGGTCACTGCTGGGATTTAAACTTTTTTCAATATTTATGTTATATACATATAAATGGTGGTTGTTGTGTCTGCTCTGTAACTTCCATTTACATGAAAGTTTCAATTTTTATCTAAAAAAATATTAAGTCACCATGCTGGACAATTTGTTGTTAACAAGACCCAGGTTTCTTTGTCTTAAAGGTCATTGCTGGAGTACGAATTTTGTCAATTTTTACCACCACACATAGCATGAAATAGGTAGTTTATAACTAGAATCCTTCGGGGGCATTTGTCACTTTCTGTGTCAGCTTTTATTCAAATACTAACCTTGCTTACTGGTTTTTGAATTTTCTAATTTTAAAGGTTTTGGTCGGTTTTCAGTTAAAGTCAGTTTTTAGCTGAAAACCGATCATAGTCTTTAAAACGGATAAACATGACATCCCTACCTATGACATAACCTTCAATCTATTGGACATCTGAAAAGACTGGATGACGGGATGACGTCATTGGGGGATACGGTGGACAATACCGATACGATTAAGAAAACCATAGAGGGATATAAAGATCTTTATCCTTTCTCTTGTAAGATTGCCAGATTGAAATTGCCAAAATTTTGTGTAATTGAATAAGATATTACATAAAATGGATGGTGAAATGAATAAATATGTTAAGATTTGTTTTTAAAGTAAACCATATTCCTGGATAACTGATCATGATTACCATTTTCGTTAGATTCTTAATAATTAAAATTTTACCAGGCAGTTAAATCATACTAACTTGCTTATACCAGAAATATGGATAATGTATCTATGTCTCTGCTAATATACAATACCCAAAAGATAATAAAAAATTAAAGTTGGCCAGTCTTAAGTATAGAGTCTGGTCAGACAACACGAATGTGTAGGCTGGTCTGGCTCTATACTGGTGGCAAAGGTTAGTCACTTGCTGTTTCAGCAGGTTAAAAGAATTTACAGGTTTGTTTTAATTATTCAAATTGATTTCAGGTGTAAGACGGACAGATCATGCATAATGACTTAGTTAACTGATTTGGAGTGGGTCACGTCAGTTAACACAGTCATTATGCATGATCTGTCCAGGACATACAATGATATACATATATCATGTGAGCAGATTTAAAAAAAGAAAGAAATTTACAGATTTTGTCTCTTGTTGCCATGGTAACCATATATTAAAATCTAAATTTTCACGGGACGATGACCTGTGAAATTGTATGATTGATAGTGATTTAACAATACTTCTTGGATATTGTTAAATTTAAATGTGAGATATAATTAATAATTTTCAACGTTTTTGTTTATGGTCAATACTTTCATTTCTGACATTGAAACTTGATTATGTGGATACATGAGCCACACCCATTTTCATGTCAAAATGTCAATGTGAATTCACTTATTCAAGTTTTCTATTTATTTAGAAAAGTTTAAGTTTATAATCCAGCATTGAGAAAAGTGGATCACAATGCTCCTCCGACAGCTCTTGTTAAGTTCTGGTACATGTATTTTGATAAACCGAACTGTAAAAGTTATATGACCAAGTTTATATTGTTGTGATCTCATATAACCCAGCTTGATAGGCAAAGGATTGGTTATTATGTAAAGTTCTGGTATTTTGGTAAACCAGACTAAAATGTTATATGGCCCTGTTTATATTGTTGTAAACTTATATAACCCAACCTACTAGGCAAGGGTTATATTGGTTATTATGTTAAGTTCTGGTATTTTGGTAAACCAGACTAAAATGTTATATGGCCCTGTTTATATTGTTGTAAACTTATATAACCCAACCTACTAGGCAAGGGTTATAAAGCAAACAACCATTTAGTCATGACCATGTAACCATATAAGCAGTCAAAAAATCTTGATGAAAAATTATAATACAGCACAATTGCTACTTTTTGGGAAAAAAATGAAACTTTATTTATTCATTTAAATAAGTCTTGTATTAGATAATATAACTGTTATAGTTATCCAAGGATTATAAAGCAAACAACCATTTAGTCATGACCATGTAACCATAGAAGCAGTCAAAAAATCTTGATGAAAAATTACAATACTACTATAATTGCTACTTTTTGGGAAAAAAATGAAAATTTATTTATTCATTTAAATAAGTCTTGTATATAGATAATATAACTGTTATAGTTATCCAATGAAAACAGACATTACAAACATGCACTATTATAATTGTATATTGTTTGAAGAGAATAACCCATGATGCAGTTGTCGTTTTATTTTTTCTTCTGCAAGAGCTTGAAGCAAGTTTTCCTGTATATTTTTGTTACAATACTAATTAAAATATTTGTAGAATATGTTGATAATTTATTTGATAAGTTTGGATCTGAGATTTCCTTAATTACTGCCTGCTGGAGAGTATTCATTAATGTTGATTACATGCTTTAAAATTTTTTTTGATTTCTGCTGAACAAGCTTTAAATTATTCTTAATCATATTTTGAGTTTTTGAGAAAATAAATAGCTCACCTGAGCACGTAGCACTCAAAATTTTGATCTTATATCATAAAATCATGCTAACAGTTATGTGCCCTTGAGGTAAAAGATTGATACAATACAGTTTTTGATTGTGTGAGTAAGGAAAGGCAATGCTTGCCTTTTTTAGCACATCTGAGATAGCTCAGGGTGAGCTTTAAGGATCGTTGAATGTCCGTCGTCCGTCAACATTAGTTCCTTAACACTCAAGCGGTCACATCTTTGCCTCAATCATTATCAAACTTTGTCAGGATGCTTGACTAGGTGATGGCTTGGATAAGATCGAACATGGGTCATCTCAGATGAAAAACTAGGTCACAGGAGCTAAAAATAGAAAAACCTTGTTAACACTCAAGTAGTCAGATTTTTGACTCAATTGTCATCAAACTTGGTGAGGATGCTTGTCTAGGTAATTTACTAGGATGAGTTTGAACATGGGTCATCTCGGATGAAAAACTTGGTCACAGGAGCTAAAAAAAGAAAAATATTGTTATAACACTCTAGTGGCTACTGCTTTAAGCCAAATATCCTGGAAATAATTCTGAAAGTTTTTTTTAATGATTTCTAGGTTAAGATTGAATATGGGTCATCTGGGGTCAAAAACTAGGTCACACTGCTCAAATATGTAAAATCCAACACTCTAGTGGTCACATTTTTGACTCACCTGTCATGAAACTTGGTTAAAATGCTTGTCTTGGTATTTGTTCAGATGAGTTTGATGGGTCAGGTGAGCGATCTAGGGACATCTTGGCCCTCTTGTTTTATGATAAAGCCGTCAGTTTTAATTACTATTATTTATTAGCTCACCAGAGCCGAAGGCTCTGGGTGAGCTATTAGTATCAAAGGGGGATGCTCCAGCGTCAGTCGTCCGTCGTCATGCGTCAACAATCATCTTCTTCTCTGAAACTACTAAGCAAATTTACTTCATTTTAAATGAATTCTTAGGTAGTCTTATATCAAGTTTGCTCACATTAATTTGATTAGCCCTTTTTAGGGGTCTCTAGGGCTAAAAATAGAAAAACCTTTAAACATATTCTCCTACAGAACTAATAGATGGATGATCACCAAACTTTGTATGTAGCATCATTGTGTAGTCTTTTATCCTGTTTGCTCATATTAATTTGATTTGCCCCTGTTAGGGGCCGCTAGAATTAAAGATAGAAATACGTTTAAACATCTTCTTCTACAGAACTAATTAATGGATGATCACCAAACTTTGTCTGTAGCATTTTTGGGTAATCTTTTATCAAGTTTGCTCACATTAATTTGATTGGCCCCTTCAAGGGGCCACTAAAGCTAGAAATAGAGAAAACCTTCGAACATCATTTCCTTTTGAAATAATTGATAGATGATCACCAAACTTTGTAGCATTCTTGGGTACTCTTTTATCAAGTTTGCTTATATTAATTTGATTAGCCCCTTTCAGGGGCCACTAAAGCTAAAAATAGAGAAAACCTTCGAACATCATTTCCTTTTGAAATAATTCATAGATGATCACCAAACTTTGTAGCATTCTTAAGGTAGTCTTTTATCACGTTTGCCCATATTAATTTGATTATCCCCATTTAAGCAAAAGCTTAATAAATACCCCAGGTCATCGCATTTCTTCAAATTATTGTTTTAAAAGTATTCTATGCTCAAATTTAATATTAGAATATATTGACATTCCATCACTGAAAAGCAGTTGATTCTGTTGAGCGACTCGGGGCCATCATGGCCCTCTTGTTATAAATTAGTGCAGTTGTATCTATAAATCATTAAATATTTGCTCTTTATATCACTATCATCTTATAAATCTACAATCATTAATAAAAACATTTCTAGTGAAAACTGTTTAAATAAAAAAATACAGCGGTCAATATTTGAATATTTTACCATTCACTTCTGTTTACATTTTTTTTTCAATTAACAGAAAAAGTTTTATCGTTTCTATGACCATAATGTAGACTTCTATTTCAGGGAAATACAGACTAAAACGATTTGAGTGTAAAGAGATCGATGGCAAGGGAGTCAGGTTTATTGTCAGTCGAAGAGAAACTCATCAGAATCAATAGTGATGTTATGGATTGTTTCATTAAAGGAAGTTGTATACTACCTTCAGGAGAAATTCTGCTTACTCAATGGAATAAAACATTAAAGTAACTTGATAGCATGTATATAGTAATCAGTGTGTGTGATCTTCCTGATAATCCATATGATGTTTGCAATTTCGGGGATAATGTAGCTGTTGTAGCACTGTTAGGGGCGAAACTTCAGTTTGTTGAAACTAAACGTAGTATGACACTGATAAGATCCATTGGTACAGATCATACTTGTCATGGTCTGACTTGCAATGGTGATCAGATGTATGTTAGAGATTATTATGGTTTTGTTTATAGTTATAGTATCTAATGGTTTAAATTCCAATGAATTCTTAAAACATTTTGCTGCTATAAACAACATATATATTTATGTTTAATCAGTCAAGTTTACAATTAAGATGTTTGTTGAACACATAACTAAATAACTAATATATTATCATAGGTTTATTATTCCGGCAAAGTGAATTTAACCATTCTTACAACATGATGCTTGTTGGTGGGTAACTAACGTTATTTATAGATTCACGCATGTAATGTTGTATTGATAACTCTAGAGGACATGTAATACAAGACTATACAAGTTGTGTCCCTTGCATCACCAAGTACATAGATAAGCAATATCTCATTTTACTTTGCGAGTTAAAATATTCAAGATGAAATCTACAGTTTATTGTACTCGAAGTAAAGGATACTTTTTATATACATGTATTTATAACACATTTGGTGCGTTCAGAGTATTCCCAATGGTCCCAGTAATTTATACCATCGATAAAATTATATAACCATTTTTTATTACCAATGCTTAATATCTAATCCTAACAAATATAACCAATGGCGCTCCGAGCTATCTGTTCTTAAATATAAGTTGAACACATCTGCGGATGTTTCAAAATTCAAAATGTTAAATGTTGAATTCTGCTTAAGCCGGTGCTAGGGGGCGTTGACGGTAGTTTGCACTTGACAGTACTGTCCATGAACAGGCTCAATCAAACCGAGCCTGCAACATTTTCATTTTTGCCATGTTGGGTTTTTCTTTAGGGATTCTTATTTTCTCTATTTACTCAGATTTTATTGTACAGGTAATATAAACTTTAATCCCCCATCCCAAAAATGTTTCTTTGCAAATTCAGCACTTTTTGACATTCTTTGTATGCGCTACAACATGTACATTATTAATCTAATACAATCAATGTAAATTGTATGCAACTGACAATAAAAATCAGATACGACCAAAACTGGGTGTTCTCAGAGTCACTCCATACCATTGGTAGGTTTACCTAAATATCATAGTATCACCACGGTACAAATGTTTATGGACAAAATTTGTCATAGTTAGAAAAATTACAGACAGAGGGTGCTCTGGGAGTAAATTTATAGGTATCCAATGGTACATTTAATTCATTTACCACTGGCATATCAATGATATTAACATTTCCGGACAAAATTTGCCATTGGCAGATTAATATGCAGAAACAAACTAGTGCTATGTTAATTAGTGTTGACAAGTCTTACTTAAAACGTCATTCAAATTGGCGATTCTGATTTTCATTGTTACATGAAACTTTCTTGAAATGATATTTCACAATTTTAAAATGTAGAAAAACTGAAGCATTGAAATGAATAAAATAATCCCGTTAAAATGTATTAATATTAATAAAAATGTCAATAAAAAACTGAACAAATCAAGGACATCATAAACATATACAGTTTTTTTTCCGGATAGTGTTTATAAGTAACAATATTATATAAAAAATTCAGACTCGCATTGGTCGAGTCTATTCAAGCGAGATGAAATCCGTTCAGAATAAATTGTTAACAAATGGTACCAATGATAATTAATGTTACCAATGGTATACTCGTATAAGTATTGGTATCACTGGAAGTACTCTAAACTCACCCACTAGCTCTATCATAGCACCAATCGATAACCAATGGCATTTTTGTTTCACTGGTAAGGCAATGGTAAGTCTTATTTTCAATATATGCCAATAGATTTACACAGAACGCACCTAGAGTTTATTTTGAATGTTTACACTTAACTTGATATATTTCTATAATGGATCTGTCCAGCTTTAAATATGAATCAGTCCATTCAAAAGTCAAGGGATTTTAATATCAAAATAAAAAAAATTGAGCTATGGGCAGTATAGAGCCTGACCAGACTGCAAGGACGTGCAGGATGACCTGGTTCTATGCTGGTGGCAATGCCTGATCCCTAATGGTCCCAGAAGGTTAAAGGTTAACTTTATTTTAATGTGATATTTTTTTCCTTTCAAAAAGGTGCGATATTCCTTGAATTAAATACACCAAAACGAAAGGTCTCATCTCTGTGAAACGGGAAATTTCCTGCTCCTTGAAGAGGAAAATAGTGTTTTTTTTTGTTTTTTTTTTTTGCATCAATTGGTAAAATCATTTGTAAATTATTCGTTATTCATTGATAATAATAATAATAATAATAATAATAATAATAATAACAAACGACTTCCATGAGGCCTTCAACAAGGTATACTATAAATTTAACATATTCAAACTTTTAAAATACATGTATGTAAATATATTCAAGAGATTATCAATTTGTACACATCGATGTGCATTGTGTACACCGGTCTTACTGTCGATTATTGAGAGACCGGTGTGTATACAATGCATCGACGTGTGATAATATCTCAAGTATAAAGTTTTAAAATAGTTCACAGATGTAGCAGACTTGATATAATCAGAAAGACCGTTCCAAATACAAGATCCAGAATAAATAAAAGACTTAAGAAATTGTTCAGTATTTGGTCTAGGGAGTCTAAAGTTGATAATAAGCTCGATGTTTAGAAATCAGATTATCAATGCTAGAATGTATTGAATAATAATTTTCTTAAATTTGTACACTTTCTTTACTCTAAAGCACTTTAGAAATCTTATCGCCGTTCTAAATTATTTATGTTCATACGCCTCGAATGTATACATTTACATTGTATATTGTATAAAAATCATGGCAAAATATTTGCTGTCAGTTTCATTTAAACAAGTACAGATACTCACGAGGACATGGAGTGATCATTTTATGGTAGATAATGATAATTGTGATTTTTTAATAATATAAATCAAGAAAATATAGACCTGACCTTCATTTATCTGTTTCTATAAAACATCAAAATCGATATCATAAGGTAAGTGCAGCAGCAGCAATATCGGGTATTTAAAATAAGAAGGAAATTTTCATTAGGTTAAAGTCCTGTTTTAATTAAGGTTGTTACCTCAATTAAGTGAAATTTTATATATGCATATAATTATGTTTCTAAAACAATTTTCAAAAATAAGTGAAGAATATGTAAAATATGTTCTGCAAATAATTGTACATATTATATGTTATCATTAAAATATGTGCATTCATTTCTTATTGAAAAAAGGTGACGTAGACTTTATAGAGAATGATTTTTTATTACTTCTCTTTATTTACATGAAATGTTAAGTTCGGTAATATCTTTTTTTTTTTTTTTTTTTTTTTTTTTTGAGGCCCCATCTGGGTAACCCCGTTTATTCACCCCGTAATAGGTATGAGGGGGTCGGGGTCATCCTCCATCATACTTTACATTGTTAATATACAATATACATGTTGCAAAATAAATATATTCATGTAAATATTGTCAAATACATCTACAGTATATATTTTGCATATAAATATAAACAACATGCATACAATAAACCCATTTATTTTCCAAAAATATTTTACCAATAAAAATTACTACTTATTAATAAACAATTAAACAATCTGTTACGAGGTAAAGTTTTGTTTCACATATTAAGTGTAGTTTAAGCAATTAAGGATCTTATAATTGACCATCTATTATTTTCATCATTTGTCAAATGTGTATTTCTATAGATATTCCATGCTAATTTCAAACTATTTTTAAAACCAATACATGTAGGTAAAAAGTTTTTTCTCTTAGACAAATAAATATATCTTTTCAATTCTAGAAACAATATGTCATATTTAAAATCTTTATTTTCTGTACCTAATATGAATGATTTACAACAAAGAACATCGTCAAAATTATGTAAGTTTTCTCTAAGGTATTGAAATAGGCTTTGAATTTTCTGACATTCCCAAAATAAATGTAAAAGTGTTTCTTCACAGCATTTACAAAAAGTACACATTTTATTATCAACAATTTTCATTTTAAACAAAAGTGAGTTTGTAGCTAAAGTTCTATGAATAATTCTTGTTTGGAACCACTGAATATATGAATCTTTAGAACATTTGAAAACATAACTATATATTAACTGCCAATTAATGTTATTATCTTTAAAACATGTGTTCCACCTTTCTTGACTTGTAGGTATGTCTGAATTTTTAGCTATAATTTCATAAACATATTTCTTATTGTTATTCATAGTTAAAATAGGTTTAACATAACAATTTATTATAGGATATTGAACATTAAGCAAATTGTTACTAATAGAAATATTTAACTTTTGCATGTACATTTTTATTGCCTGTTTTAAACTATGATACTGTAAAAAGTTCACAGGTTTACCTGTGACCTGTTCTAAATATATCAAATCTACAAAGTTACCCTGTTCATTTATAATATCTTTTACAAATCTGATTCCTTTATCATATAATGTCTGAATGTAAATATATCTATTTCCTGCTAAAAAGTTGTGATTGTAAAAAAGTGGCATATGTAATACTTGCTCTATATTATCTATACAAAGTTTATCTACAAACACCATATAAGCTTTTAAAACATCAATCCAGAAAGAATTTGTTATTTTACTAATAATCAAATTACAAAACATCTTTCCAGTGTTAAAAATGTTATCAATATTAAACAATGTGTTTACTAGCTTATAACATTTACTTTTGCTATTACTAACATAATATCTTTTAAACCATTTTATCTTTAAACTATGTATATAACTATAAATATCAACCATGTTTAAACCACCTTCTATGTATGTTTTAATAAGTACTGATTGTTTTATTTTTGCCTTGCCTTCCCAAATGAAATCATAAAATAAGTCATTAAGTGTTTTCAAAAATACAGTATTTGGTGTTGGTAGGCTTGTGAAACAATGAGTAAATAAAGGAAGCAATATTGACTTAATAACAGCAATTTTTCCTATTGGAGTTAATATTCTCTTTTTCCAGTGAATTATACTATTTTTTACTTTTTGAAGTTTTTCATTAAAATTTAAGTCAATCATTTTTTCTAAATCAACATCAAATATTAAACCTAACAATTTGAACTGAGTATCACCCCAAGTTAATTTCCATCTTGTCTTAATTGACCTAGTACTATATTTAAGAGAGCCTATCCAAATAACCTTAGTTTTGTCAAAATTTATCTTTAATCTAGAAAATTCTGTAAACTTACTTAATAACTTTAAAGCAGTATTGAGAGATTTTTCTGAACCATCTAATAGAAGTGATGTATCATC